GCGGTTCCGGAGCTAACTCTCTGTTCTAGTTAAACTCCAAGTTTAACATATCCTTCTAAACGAAGTACAGCACTGGTGTTCTCAACTGGTCTCTCAAGCTGTCCGGTCCTAACTGTCCTCTCCAGCGGTTCCGGGGCTAACTCTCTGTTCTAGTTAAACTCCAAGTTTAACATATCCTTCTAAACGAAGTACAGCACTGGTGTTCTCAACTGGTCTCTCAAGCTGTCTGGTCCTAACTGTCCTCTCCAGCGGTTCCGGGGCTAACTAACTTCTCAAGCGGTTTCGGGGCTAACTTTATTCTCCCGCTTTCCCGCTCTTTCTGGCGTACCTTTTCAATCACGCCCCTGTCACCTGTCTTTGGTGGTCACGTTTGGATGAACGTATCTCTTCAGCTGGTCACAGCTCACGGGCACTCGTCGAATGTTTCATCCCTCACTGTCAGATGTCATGGCGGTTATCATGAAGATGTTCTGCATAGTTGGCTAGGCCCTGGCTTTCTAATCACCCATTTCTGTCATTTCCCACAGTGATGGATTAGTACGCCGTGTGGTGGTCTGAAATGTATGCTTTGTTCATTTAACCCCTTTCTGCCTATATTTCATTACATTCGCCACACACACTTTTTAACAAAATTGTTTACCATCTTCAATTTTATCACTAAAAACTACTCTAATTATACCCGCTACCAACTAAACCTTATATGAACATCTAGCCACGTAATGAAAGCAACTCTTAATTAATATCTATCCAGTTTACCTATCAACTTTACTTTCAATTTATTATAAATATACTCCAAAGTATTTCTACTAATTGTCCCCATGAAAAGCTGGTTATACTGTCTCCTATCTCGGCCCCGAAGACGGCATAGACATGCTTCACCATGCTTTACTCCCATGTCATGCAATTGTGTTAGTGTCAGGGATTCCTCATTATCCACAAGCCAAATCCGTACAGCGTTGACAATATCTGCTCTGTCCATGCTTTTTCCTGCATTCCTTAGTGCAGTGCTTGCCAGTTGGTCTGCTCGCTTATTTCCCTTTACGCTCGCATGACCTGGTGTGTAGATCTAGGTGAGGAAAGTTAGGTGCCATTTTCAAATGCTTTCTACCTATTCAGAGCGCATACCGCCTGTTGCTATCTTTTGAAGCATATTCATGGAGTCTGATACAATTACTGCCTTTGTGGCTGTTTGCTCGGTATCCATGCTAATGCTCTAGAAGCAGCGGCTATTTCAATAGTTATGCTTGACGTGGTTGTCCTTCTGTATTGTTTTCCCCCTTCTTTGCACTGTTTATGCCCATGCTGACCTTAATCCGCACTTCACGGATCCATCTGTGTAAGTAAAAGTAAGAAAAGGACCCTTTTCCACGCCTTTAGGTGTATAGGGCATATAGGGCTAGACCTATATTTTTATAGACCATCGGTACAAGATGGGTGATGTGGTCAATATCACGCCGGCCGCCTCTACTTCCCGGGACTGCACCTGGTACCCACTTAAGGCTGCGTCGACCTGGGAGCCAAGGTCATTTTATCCATCTGTGTAGATAATGATATCTTCTGGGTCTGAATACTGATCTATTGGTTCCTCATCTATGTCTAACATATGAAAAACCGCCTAGCAACCAGTCAGGACACTAAGGAGACAATATCTTGCAGATATCTTATCTTGCACCAGGACCCAGCTCAATGGATAAACATGGATCTATTTCTTAAAGATATTACTCAAGAAATATTTGTTTTAAATGATTTCTGAAAACCTTAATCAATAAGGTCTGGTAATCTGGTTATCTTAGTTTCAGCTTCATAGCAAACGGGTCACCCCATAGTTGCTCCGCCCTTGTGCCAACAAAAAACACACAGAATGTTTATCACAGTCCCTTGTGGAAAGATTGACAGACTGCTGTCTCAGCATATCTAGCATAGACATGCATTAAAATCATACGGTAGCCATCCGAAGTGCTAACACAAACAGTCCGAAATTAGAAATGCAGTTCATTATGGATGGTAGCAGAAGTCACAAACAGATCAGCAGTTGCACACATGATCAATTTTAATCACATAATGGCACCACCATTATTGTGACAACAGGCAGCGCCATTTTCTGAATCTGCAATTCAGACCACCACGTTGGTCACAGCCAAAAAACATTCCAATTGAAATTCACAGCTCACAGTGTTACACCATGCACTTAACTCAGAAGCTGGGTGACAAAAGTATATCCTTTCCACTCAAAAAATGCAACGGCCACTGTCTGGCAGAAGCAACAAATTTGCCATGGCTCCAAACAGTGGCCGTGCCTAGCGTCCATTTTGACTGGAAGTCAGTATCTCAATAAGAACATTCACTGTTGGCTCTACAATATTATAAAAATATTATGATGATAACAGTTTACAGTTTCTAAATAAAATGTAAAAAATATGTAATATTGGTTTTAAAAAAAATGTTGAGTGCTGATGATTACTCAAAACAATTAAACAATTTGTTTAATTTATACTGCCAAATAATTTAATGTATAATATAACCCTCGTAAAATTATGTCCATAAAGCAATTAATGCAACTCTTAATTAATATCTATCCAGTTTACCTATCAACTTTACTTTCAATTTATTATAAATATAAATCTAACTAACTCTTGGACTGTAGTGATGTCTATAATTTCTGATCCTGTCCTGTAATATACCTTGATAGCTCTCTCCGTCGATGCTGCGATATACCTTGATGGCTCTATCCATCGATGCTGTGATATACCTTGATGGCTCTCTCCATCGATGCTGTGATATACCTTGATGGCTCTCTCCATCGATGCTTTGATATACCTTAATGGCTCTCTCCATCGATGCTGTGATATACCTTGATGGCTCTCTCCGTCAAAGCTGTGATATACCTTGATGGCTCTCTCCGTCAAAGCTGTGATATACCTTGATGGCTCTCTCCGTCGATGCTGTGATATACCTTGATAGCTCTCTCCATCAATGCTGTGATATACCTTGATGGCTGTCTCCATCAAAGCTGTGATATACCTTGATGGCTCTCTCCATCGATGCTGTGATATACCTTGATGGCTCTCTCCGTCAAAGCTGTGATATACCTTGATGGCTCTCTCCATCAAAGCTGGGATATACCTTGATAGCTCTCTCCATCGATGCTGTGATATACTTGATGGCTCTCTCCGTCAAAGCTGTGATATACCTTGATGGCTCTCTCCATCGATGCTGTGATATACCTTGATAGCTCTCTCCGTCGATGCTGTGATATACCTTGATGGCTCTCTCTGTCAAAGCTGTGATATACCTTAATGGCTCTCTCCGTCAAAGCTGTGATATACCTTGATGGCTCTCTCCGTCAAAGCTGTGATATACCTTGATGGCTCTCTCCGTCAAAGCTGTGATATACCTTGATGGCTCTCTCCATCGATGCTGTGATATACCTTGATGGCTCTCTCCATCAAAGCTGTGATATACCTTGATGGCTCTCTCCGTCAAAGCTGTGATATACCTTGATAGCTCTCTCCATCGATGCTGTGATATACCTTGATGGTTCTCTCCATCGATGCTGTGATATACCTTGATGGCTCTCTCCATCGATGCTGTGATATACCTTGATGACTCTCTCCATCGATGCTGTGATATACCTTGATGGCTCTCTCTATCGATGCTGTGATATGACTTGTGTTTGGTTACCACTACACACTAATGAATTCTTTGTATTTACTAAAATGTTCCATAGCCAGAAAGGTCTCAGCTCTACATAACATATTTCTATCCACAACACAAATTATTCTGTCAAGTTTGTTCAAAAGATGTAGAAAGTGTCAATGTTTCTTAAAATATTATTACACACTGTGCTGGTTCACTAAGATTTCAGACTGTCTCGGTAGTTGTGTTGCAATCTATCACATTACTCTACTTCTTGTCTTTATTCTAAACTGAAACTGTTCCTTAGATTTATGTACATGTTGTCTAACAACAAATATGTAGATGTTTATTGCTTTACATTTTATAACACTGCTTTCGTTCCAATGTAGCTCCACGCTACTGTCCTGTTGACAGTTTTATCTGTTTGCTGTCATTCGTCACTCATACACACACTGGATGCTAACCCGGCTGACTTCATGAGCCGCTATCATACTAAGTTGTGAAACCTTTGGAAGTTATCCTAATACAACCTTCATTATTTGCCTTACCAGTATAAATTAGTTTCAGGCAGCACTAGTATGTGTGTGCGCGTGCGTGCGAATGCATGTACACATGCACGTGCTTGCGTGTGTGAGTGTTTTAACTGTTGACTGTTGTCAAAAAACTTAGTGTCTAGGGTTCGCATCTATATGGCTGAGCTACAGGCTAATGACAAATAAACACTGCTAACGAACACACCCAAGCCAAACACTGGTTGAACACACACACAATCTTTATTATCTAAGGATGTGAACTCATGGAGGTCTGTGCCTCAGGAGGGGTAGTGCTCCTTATTCTGAAACCAGGCCACTCCCAACTTTAAAACGCCAGACGCGCCCTTTCACGTTCATGAAATAATCTCTAAACTCCTACCACACTCCCGTACAGCACTAACTCAACTCGCTATGGCACACACAGAGTGCAGGCTGGAGGTGTGTTGGCAGATGCTAATGCCACAAACAATGCATGGTCTTGTTTTCCATAACGAGGTATCACTACTGACAGAGTCTAACTGTGATCTTGAATCTAACTGCTAAATGAGATCTAAATGAAACAATTACTACCTACCCCATAAAGTACTAAACACATTGAGTCAAACACCAGGCGGTATGAATCAACGCAAACATCTAACACGCCACATTTCTACCGGTCATTACAACTTGTCAATGAACTAGTACAATTTAACAGCCTGGTCAAAACAACGTCCACATCACACAAGTCTTCTGCCAAGAGTCTTTCCATAACTGATTTTTAAACTTAAAATTTGATGCCATATTTGCTAGTTTTTCTGTTTTTCTTTGGAAATAATTTTTAAGTCTACTCACATAATATTTCTCTATCAATTCCATCTTTTGCATCCGACGTTCTTCTGATACTGTTAGCTCATCATGATCTGTTGCAAGTTTGTCCTGTTCTTCTGCAGGTTCTAAATCTACAGAGATGACCAGACTACCTGAAATACAGGGATGATGGGATTACTTGCAACAGACAAATAAATACAAAGATAACTAGACTACATGCAACAGATGAATGATTACAAAGATAATGAGACTACATGCAACAGACAAATAAATACAAAGATAACTAGACTACATGCAACAGATAAATGATTACAAAGATAACTAGACTACATGCAACAGATAAATAAATACAAAGATAACTAGACTACATGCAACAGATAAATAAATACAGATATAACTAGACTACATGCAACAGATAAATAAATACAAAGATAACTAGACTAAATGCAACAGATAAATAAATACAGATATAACTAGACTACATGCAACAGATTAATAAATACAGATATAACTAGACTACATGCAACAGATAAATAAATACAAAGATAACTAGACTACATGCAACAGATAAATAAATACAAAGATAACCAGATTACATGCAACAGATGAATGAATACAAAGATAACCAGACTACATGCAACAGATAAATGAATACAGGAATGACAGGATTACATGCAACAGATGAATGAATACAAAGATAACTAGACTACATGCAACAGACAAATAAATACAAAGATAACTAGACTACATGCAACAGACGAATGAATACAAAGATAACCAGACTACTTGCAACAGATGAATGAATACAAAGATAACCAGACTACATGCAACAGATAAATGAATACAGGAATGACAGGATTACATGCAACAGATGAATGAATACAGGTTTAAAAGGACTACCGGTAACCGATGAATTAACACAGGGATGCAAGGACTACCTGTAACCGATGAATTAACACAGGGGTGATAGGACTACTTGTAACTAATGAATGAACACAGGGGTGAAAGGACTACCTGTAACAGATTAATGAATACAGGTTTAAAAGGACTACCTGTAACCAATGAATTAAAACAGGGGTGCAAGGACTACCTGTAACCGATAAATTAACTCAGGGGTGTAAGAATTACCTGTAACTGATGAATTAACACAGGGGTGAAAGGACCACCTGTAACCGATGAATTAATACAGGGGTGAAAGGACTACCTGTAACTGATGAATTAACTCAGGGGTGCAAGAACTACCTGTAACAGATGAATTAACACAGGGGTGAAAGGACTACCAGTAACCGATGAATAAACTCAGGTTTGCAAGAACTACCTAGAGCTGATGAATTAACACAGGGGTGAAAGGACTACCGGTAACCGATGAATTACCACAGGGGTGAAAGGACTCCCTGTAACCGATGAATTAACACAGGGGTGTAAGAACTACCTGTAACAGATGAATGAATACAGGGGTGAAAGGACTACCTGCAAGAGATTGATTAATATAGAAAATGGAGGATAGGCCCGTCACTTATTTTAGTCCTGGAGAAATTGTGCGTAAAACATACGGTAACAAGCGCATTTGCCTTCAGTTGTACACCGAAAGGATATAGTTTTGTTGCCCAGCTATTGAGATGAATGCATGGCCTGACACTGTGAGCTGTAGAGTTTATTTGGAATGCTTATTGATTGGGACCAGCAATGGTTTTGAACTGTAGATTCTAAAAATGGCAAATGGACTGTTGCCACAGAATTGGTAGCGCTTTATGTGATTAAAATTAATTATATTTGCAACTACAGATCTGCTGTAACCGCTGCTTCAATCGATGATAAACTCCCTTTATAATGTCAGACTGTTTGTTTTAGCACTTCTGATGGCTGCCTTATGCTTATAATGTGTGTGTATATTATTGGACATACGGAGATGCAGTTTGTGTCAATCTGTCCACAAGAGACAGTAATGGACATTATGTGCGTTTTTCACTTGTACAAGTGCAGAGCACCTATGTTTTGACCCATTTTCTATAAAGTTGAAACTAAGATAACCAGATTGACAGATTACTGGATACAGAGATGACCATATTCAAGAGTTGAATGAATACAGGGATGAACAGACTACATGCAACATGTAAATGAATACAAAGATGACCATATTTCCTGCATAAGTTGGATGAATACAGAGATGATCAGACTACCTGCAAAACATGGATGGATACATTAGCGATTGTTGGGATGTGTACATTCATATGATGATGATGATATATATATTAAGTGTGAGAATTTAGGGACAGGAAAAGTATGAGTATTTAAAAACAGGTAAAGTATGAGAATTTAGTGAGGATAAAATATGAGTTTATTGGGCAATTACACAAATTATGAGATTGTTGGAACAAGCAATCTATTAGATTATTAGGACAGGCAAATATGTATAGGATTCTTAGGACAGGTACAATATTAGAGTCTGCATCTGTGGCTTAGATGTTGCAAACATGCTTTGTAATGCCAGAATGCCAGGTGTGATTCTAGTCCTTTTGTCAGCAGATCACCTTATCGAGAGATGACCACTCTGTAGCAATGGAAAACAACTGACTGAAAATTTGCCTAAAAAACCACCACAGCCAAAATATGCTAGGGTTAGTTCTGCAACCTAATTTAAAGGATACACAACTAACTAACAATATGAAAGTCAGTGTCTGCGGTTTAGACGTTGCGAATGCACTTCATAATTCAAAGTTGCCAGGTTTGATACAGCTGCAGACAATCTGTCAGCAGACGGCCTTGTATTGGTTTTGACAGTGGTACATCAGTGGTATCATGTCCCTGCAGCATGGCACCCGAAAATGCTGAGCATGTGCTCCAACACTGTCAACTGAATGTTGACAACAGAGACACAATCTGGCCTGTTCCAACCACAATGAAGACAAAACTGTATGGTATATGAGAGGATATAGATTGCACAATAGCTTTCATAAAGGCTACAGGCCTCCTGATATAAGTTTTCTGACAGAAGGATCAAAGACGAAGAAGAAGAAGTGGTATCAACTGCCTAGTAAAATCACAGACAAGAAATGCTGGTATTTGTATTGCAACATAAGATTATTGTGATTGTTGAAGCATGGTATTATTGTGATTGTTAAAGCATGGTATTATTGTGATTGTTAAAGCATGTACCTGTTGTGATTGTTAAAGCATGGGACTGTAGTGATTGTTAAAGCATGTAACTGTTGTGATTGTTAAAGCATGTAACTTTTGTGATTGTTAAAGCATGTAACTGTTGTGATTGTTAAAGCATGAGACTGTTGTGATTGTTAAAGCAAATAACTGTTGTGATTGTTAAAGCATGGGACTGTAGTGATTGTTAAAGCATGTAACTGTTGTGATTGTTAAAGCATGTAACTGTTGTGATTGTTAAAGCATGTGACTGATGTGATTGTTAAAGCATGTAACTGTTGTGATTGTTAAAGCATGGGACTGTAGTAATTGTTAAAGCATGAGACTGTAGTGATTGTTAAAGCATGTAACTGTTGTGATTGTTAAAGCATGAGACTGTTGTGATTGTTAAAGCATGTAACTGTTGTGATTGTTAAAGCATGTAACTGTTGTGATTGTTAAAGCATGTAACTGTTGTGATTGTTAAAGCATGTAACTGTTGTGATTGTTAAAGCATGTAACTGGTGTGATTGTTAAAGCATGGGACTGTAGTGATTGTTAAAGCATGTAACTGTTGTGATTGTTAAAGCATGTAACTGTTGTGATTGTTAAAGCATGTAACTGTTGTGATTGTTAAAGCATGTAACTGTTGTGATTGTTAAAGCATGTAACTGTTGTGATTGTTAAAGCATGTGACTGATGTGATTGTTAAAGCATGGGACTGTAGTGATTGTTAAAGCATGGGACTGTAGTGATTGTTAAAACATGTAACTGTTGTGATTGTTAAAGCATGAGACTGTTGTGATTGTTAAAGCATGTAACTGTTGTGATTGTTAAAGCATGGGACTGTAGTGATTGTTAAAGCATGTAACTGTAGCGATTGTTAAAGCATGAGATTATTGTGATTGTTAAAGCATGTGACTGATGTGATTGTTAAAGCATGAGATTGTTGTGATTGTTAAAGCATGGGACTGTTGTGATTGTTAAAGCATGAGATTATTGTGATTGTTAAAGCATGAGATTATTTTGATTGTTAAAGCATGAGATTATTGTGATTGTTAACGTATGAGATTATTGTGATTGTTAAAGCATGAGATTGTTGTGATTGTTAAAGCATGAGATTGTTGTGATTGTTAAAGCATGAGATTATTGTGATTTTTAAAGCATGAGATTATTTTGATTGTTAAAGCATGAGATTATTGTGATTGTTAAAGTATGAGATTTCTGTGACATTTAACAAATGTTGCGATTGTCCAACATGAGATATCGAAGATTGTTCAATACTGAGATTATTGTGATCTTTAAAGAATTAGATAACTATCCTCCAAATAACGGCCCCAAATTTGGATGGCCGAAAATATACCCTAACAGGGAACCAGTCACATGTAAATTGCAGACCTCTTCCGGCGACTACACAGCATACCGCAAAAAAGCTTCTGCTGAGTTAAAGTCACTGCCGAGAGTATTTCCCGAGCCACTAAACTAGATGACTGCGACTCACAAGCAGCAGATACTGCATTTCATGCAGCCTTTGTCCATTTTATTTGCTCGTCCCAGCCATCTAGTAGCGGCGCGGAAGATGCTCTCAGCAGTATGCTGTGTAGTCACCAGAAGAAGTCCGCAATTTACATGTGTTTGGGTATATTTTCAGCCTCGATAATCTGGGACCGTTATTCGGAGGATAGCCAAAAATTATAATGATAATTAAAGAATGCAATTACTGTGATAGTTAAAGAATGACATTAATGTGATGATAAAGGAATAAGCTTATTCTAATTGTTAAAACATCAGATTGTTGTCATTGTTAAAGCATTAGATTATTGTGTTTGTTAAATTAAGAAATTTTGTGAATGTTAAAGCATGAGATCATTGTGATTGTAAAAGCATGAGATCGTTGTGATTAAAAAAGGATGAGATTGTTATGATGGTTAAAGAATGAGATTCTTGTGATAGTTGACTAATGAGATTGTTTTAATGGGTAAAGCATGAGATTATTGTGATAGTTGACTAATGAGATTGTTTTAATGGTTAAAGCATGAGATTATTGTGATAGTTGACTAATGAGATTGTTTTGATGGTTAAAGAATGAGATTCTTGTGTTAGTTGACTAATGAGATTGTTTTAATGGTTAAAGAATGAGATGTTTGTGACATTTAAAGAATGAAATTGTTGTGATTGTCAAACATGAAATTTATGAGATGGTTAAAGAATAAGATTTTCAAATAATGAGAATAATGTGACATTTGAAGAATGAGATTATTGTGATGGTTAAAGAATGAGTTTATTGTGATTGTTGAAGCACGAGACTGTTGTCATAGTTGAAGCTTATTGTTATTGTTAAAGCTTGAGAATGTTGGGACAGATAATGTGGGAGATTGTTGGGACAGAGGATGTGGGAGATTGTTGGAACAGATGATGTGGGAGATTGTTGGGTATAGATGATGTGGGAGATTGTTGGGACAGATAATGTGGGAGATTGTTGGGACAGATGATGATGGAGATTGTTGGGTATAGATGATGTGGGAGATTGTTGGGACAGATAATGTGGGAGATTGTTGGGACAGATGATGTGGGAGATTGTTGGGTATAGATGATGTGGGAGATTGTTGGGACAGATAATGTGGGAGATTGTTGGGACAGATGATGATGGAGATTGTTGGGACAGCTGAAGTTGGAGATTGTTGGGACAAATGATGTGGAACATTATTGGGAAAGATAATGTGGGAGATTGTTGCGACAGATGATGATGGATATTGTAGGGACAGATAATATGGGAGGTTGTTGGGACAGATAATGTGGGAGATTGTTGTGACAGATGATGATGGAGATTGTTGGGACAGAAAATATGGGAGGTTGTTGGGACAGCTGATGTTGGAGATTGTTGGGACAGCTGAAGTTAAAGATTGTTGGGACAGATGATGTGGAACATTATTGGGAAAGATGATGTGGGAGATTGTTGGGACAGATGATGTGGTAGCTTGTTGGGACAGATGATGTGGGAAATTGTTGGGACAGCTGAAGGAGATTGTTGGGACAGATGATGTGGGAGATTGTTGGGACAGCTGAAGTTGGAGATTGTTGGGACAGATGATGTGGGACATTATTGGGAAAGATGATGTGGGAGATTGTTGGGACAGAGGATGTGGTAGCTTGTTGGGACAGATGATGTGGGAGATTGTTGGGACAGCTGAAGGAGATTGTTGGGACAGATGATGTGGGAGATTGTTGGGACAGATGAGGTAAGAGATTATTGGGACAGTTGAAGTTGGAGATTGTTGGGACAGATGATGTGGGAGATTGTTGGGATAGGTGATATGGGAGATTAGTGGGACAGATGATTTGGGAGATTGTTGGGACAGAGGATGTGGTAGATTGTTCGGACAGATTATGTGGTAGATTGTTGGGACAGATGATGTGGTAGATTCTTGGGACAGAGGATGTAGGAGATTGTTGGGACATATGCTGTGGGAGATTGTTGGGACAGATGATGTGGAAGATTGTTGGGACAGATGATGTGGGAGATTGTTGGGACAGATGATGTGGGAGATTGTTGGGACAGAGGATGTAGGAGATTTTTGGGACAGATGATGTGGGAGATTGTTGGGACAGCTGAAGGAGATTGTTGGGACAGATGATGTGGGAGATTGTTGGGACAGCTGAAGTTGGAGATTGTTGGGACAGATGATGTGGAACATTATTGGGAAAGATGATGTGGGAGATTGTTGGGACAGAGGATGTGGTAGCTTGTTGGGACAGATGATGTGGGAGATTGTTGGGACAGCTGAAGGAGATTTTTGGGACAGATGATGTGGGAGATTGTTGGGACAGTTGAAGTTAAAGATTGTTGGGACAGATGATGTGGGAGATTGTTGGGATAGGTGATATGGGAGATTATTGGGACAGATGATGTGGGAGATTGTTGGGACAGAGGATGTGGTAGATTGTTGGGACAGATTATGTGGTAGATTGTTGGGACAGATGATGTGGTAGATTCTTGGGACAGAGGACGTAGGAAATTGTTGGGACATATGCTGTGGGAGATTGTTGGGACAGATGATGTGGAAGATTGTTGGGACAGATGATGTGGGAGATTGTTGGGACAGAGGATGTAGGAGATTTTTGGGACAGATGATGTGGGAGATTGTTGGAACAAATGATGTGGGAGATGATTGGGACAGTTGAAGTTGGAGATTGTTGGGACAGATGATGTGGGAGATTATTGGGACATATGATGTGGGAGATTGTTGGGACAGATGATGTGGTAGATTCTTGGGACAGAGGATGTGGGAGACTGTTTGGACAGATGATTTGGGAGATTGTTAAACAGATGATGTGGGAGATTGTTGGGACAGATGATGTGGGAGATTATTAGGACAGATGATGTGGGAGATTGTTGGGACAGAGGATGTGGTAGATTGTTGGGACAGATTATGTAAGAGATTATTGGGACAGTTGAAGTTGGAGATTGTTGGGACAGATGATGTGGGAGATTGTTGGGATAGATGATATGGGAGATTATTAGGACAGATGATTTGGGAGATTGTTGGGACAGAGGATGTGGTAGATTGTTGGGACAGATTATGTGGTAGATTGTTGGGACAGATGATGTGGTAGATTCTTGGGACAGAGGATGTAGGAGATTGTTGGGACAGATGATGTGGGAGATTGTTGGGACAGATGATGTGGAAGATTGTTGGGACAGATGATGTGGGAGATTGTTGGGACAGATGATGTGGGAGATTGTTGGAACAGATGATGTGGGAGATTATTGGGACAGTTGAAGTTGGAGATTGTTGGGACAGATGATGTGGGAGATTGTTGGGACATATGATGTGGGAGATTGTTGGGACAGATGATGTGGTAGATTCTTGGGACAGAGGATGTGGGAGACTGTTGGGACAGATGATGTGGGAGATTGTTGGGACAGATGATGTGGGAGATTGTTGGGACAGATGATGTGGGAGATTGTTGGGACAGAGGATGTGGGAGATCATTGGGACAGATGATGTGGGAGATTGTTTATAAGGTAAAGCTGGAGATTAATAGTGTCTAGGAAAAATTGCCAATGGCTGAGGAGGTTAAATTAGAAGGATACCTGGTGAGGTCACTTCCAGTCTCTCCTCATCTATATCCAGTATTTCATCTGCTTCTACAACCCCACTCTTGAACCTGCTCATCTCCATTAATAGAACCTTGTGGTAAAAACTGCACAAAATATTTTATCATCTGAAATATGCTTTTTCATTTAATACATCAAACAATAGTAAAAGACACACCTTATGAAAACAGAGCAAAGGAAGCCACAGCAGACAATTTTTAAAAAGTTCATATAAATCAAAAACATACATATACATCAATCTTTCACATGTACATCAATCTCCTACATATACATCAATCTGCTAAATATACATGAATCTTCTACTTATACATCAATCTTCTAAATATACATGAATCTTCTACTTATACATTAATCTTCTAAATATACATGAATCTTCTACTTATACATCAATCTTCTAAATATACATGGATTCTCTCTCTCTCTCTTATTTCCTCTCTCTCTCTCTCTCTCTCTCTCTCTCTCTCTTGACTGTATAAGGTGTCACATTTATCAGTAGTTCCTCTCTCTTGACTATATGAACTGTCACATTGATCAGTATTTCCTCTCTCTCTCTCTCTATTGACTATATGAATTGTCACAGTGATCATTTTTTCCTGTCTCTTGACTGTATACACTGAAATAATTATCATTATTTTCTGCCTCTCTTGATTGTGTGAATCGTCACATTAATCAGTATTTCCTCTCTCTCTCTCTCTCTCTCTCTCTCTCTCTCTCTCTCTTTCTTGACTGTATAAAGTGTCACATTGATCAGTATTTCCTCTCTCTCTCTCTCTATTGTCTTTATGAATGGTCACAGTGATCATTTTTTCCTGTCTCTTGACTGTATACACTGAAATAATGATCATTATTTTCTGTCTCTCTTGATTGTATGAATCATCACATTAATCAGTATTCTCTCTCTCTCTCTCTCTCTTTCTCTCTATCTTTCTCTCTCTCTCTCTCTCTCTCTCTCTCTCTCTCTCTCTCTCTCTCTCTCTCTCTCTCTCTCTCTCTCTCTCTCTCTCTCTGTATTTATACATGTGTGATCTTGAGTGTCTGTAGTCTTCTGTAAGAACAAACTGTATTTATACATGTGTGATCTTGAGTGTCTGTAGTCTTCTGTAAGAACAAACTGTATTTATACATGTGTGATCTTTAGTGTCTGTAGTCTTCTGTAAGAACAAATTGAATTTATACATGTGTGATCTTGAGTGTCTATAGTCTTCTGTAAGAACAAACTGTATTTATACATGTGTGATCTTGAGTGTCTGTAGTCTTCTGTAAGAACAAACTGTATTTATACATGTGTGATCTTGAGTGTCTATAGTCTTCTGTAAGAACAAACTGTATTTATACATGTGTGATCTTGAGTGTCTATAGTCTTCTGTAAAAACAAACTATTTATACATGTGTGATCTTGAGTGTCTGTAGTCTTCTGTAAGAACAAGCTGTATTTATACATGTGTGATCTTGAGTGTCTGTAGTCTTCTGTAAGAACAAACTGTATTTATACATGTGTGATCTTGAGTGTCTATAGTCTTCTGTAAGAACAAACTGTATTTATACATGTGTGATCTTGAGTGTCTGTAGTTTTCTGTAAGAACAAACTGTATTTATACATGTGTGATCTTGAGTGTCTGTAGTTTCTGTAAGAACAGAAGACTGGGATATTCACGTATACTACATGTGTTGATCTTTTGAAAGTTTTATAGGATCAGCCACTGCCAACGAGGGAAAAAATAAGAACAAGCTGTATTTATACATGTGTGATCTTGAGTGTCTATAGTTTTCTGTAAGAACAAACTGTATTTATACAATTGTTTTATTCTCAGTTTCTATATATCTTCTGTAAGAGTGACCCATGTGGGTTCTGGGGCCCCGTTTGGAGGGGTGAGATGGAGAAGACTGGGGTACAAGTCACGTTTGTCACCCTATCTTCATGTGATGCTTTTTTTGGGAGAAGAGTTTTGAAGCATAGTTGTAGGGAACAGCACAGACACACGAGGGAAAAAATAAGAAAACATCACTGATTCAATAATTGCAAATCATTGATCACTGCAGAACTTCTTCCTTGCACACAGGCAAGCTACTGACAAATGTGAGTTACATTCCGGATCACAGACACACCCTAAGTGGACACACAAGAAAACTGATGCAAAAATACAAATGTGATTTGTACAGAAATGACACAGACCCTACTAACAGAAATAAAACTCCACAGTCTGGGAGACAGAGTTTTGACAAATGTGAGTTGTACGGAAATCACAGACACACTACCCTAAGCTAACAAAAATAAAACTGCACAGTTTTGTCTGGGAGACAGAGTTTTGACAAATGTGAGTTGTAGGGAAATCACAGACACACGGCCCTAAGCTAACAAAAATAAAACTGCACAGTTTTGTCTGGGAGACAGAGTTTTGACAAATGTGAGTTGTACAGAAATCACAGACACACGTGCACAGTTGTGTCTGGGAGACAGAGTTTTGACAAATGTGATTTGTACGGAAATCACAGACACACTACCCTAAGCTAACAAAAATAAAACTGCACAGTTGTGTCTGGGAGACAGAGAGTTTTTTTGACAAATGTGAGTTGTAGGAAAATCACAGACACACGGCCCTAAGCTCACAGAAATATTATAAAAGGTGACTAAATAGCAGTATCTTCCTGAGATGTGAGCAACCAACATTGTACATACCAACAAACCACATTGGTAAAATGTATATGCATACAAAACTCTCCAGTTCTGGAACTTGATTAAAGAACGTACCAGGGAGTTTACAGCTGCCGAACGCAAAGAAGAAGAAATTGTTTACACAATCTACAATCCAGACTCACATAAATATCACAGGGAAAGTAACACTTTAAAGTTCTTACATCTTCTTCCTCTTCTTCATGAATGTATTTATGCTCTACACTTTCTTCACCAGCTGCCACATCTTTGTCTTCTGTTCTTTCAGCTTTACATTGAGAAGAAATCAGTCACATGTAGATGTTAATCTTCAGTACAACTAGTTTACTGTTAAAAGGTTTGTCACACATAGGAAGTTATTGTGCAAACATGTCTGTCACATTTAGGAAGTTCTTAAGTAAGCTTGTCAGTAAAATAAAGAAAGTTATTTTGCAAACACATCTGTCACATATAGAAGGTTCTTGTGTAAACATGTCTGTCACACACAGGAATTTCTTGTGTAAACATGTCTGTCCCATACAGGAAGTTCTTGTGTAAACATGTCTATCACATATAGGAGGTTCTTGTGTAAACATGTGTGTCACATATGGGAAGTTCTTCGGTAAACATGTCACTGTTTGTAATTCCCTCTGTAGATTGCACATAGTGCATTCGCTAGATAAAAGCGAATTTACCCGCCACAAAGTACTAACTGGGAGGAAAAGTTGGAACAGCTAAGAAGGAACTCAACACAAGTGCTCTCAGAGGTTCCACTTGATAAAATACCATAAGTTACATACCATGTATTTATGTGCATAAACTTAACACCACCATTATCACTTCACTCTAATCTTAGGTGCTCAGTTATCTAGCTGAAGCCTCTCATTACCACCATACCATCATTGTTTATAATAATAATGATGACTAATGTCATCCACTGATTGCTAGGTTAATAAATCAAACATATGGTCTTATCCTGCATCAGTTTTTGTAATTCCAAGTGTCTGTTCTTACTTGTTTAATAAAACTGTTAAGATAGAATATCATTTGGTGGGGGCTCATTAAATAATAATAATTATACTAATTCTTTACCAAGGAAAGGCTGTCGGAAGGGGTCAACTGCCCTGTCTAATAATTCATTCAATATAATAATACAGACATCTAAAACCCCTTTCCTTCTCTTGTGGGTACCAAGTGCAGCTAATGTTAAAGTAATTAATGAGCCAATATGGCTGTTTCCTTGGATATCCAGGACTTTGTCTGAGAGCAACATAGCTCGGATATTAGTTCAGTTAATCTGGTGGAGGGAATGTGTTGAGAGGAAAATCCCTACTCAACATATAAATCATTTAAACCCACGACCCGTTACATCACAGTAATGTGTCAGTCACATATAGTAAGTTCTTCTGTAAACATGTATGTCACATATAGGAAGTTCTTGTGTAAACATGTCTGCCACATGTAGGAAGTTTTTATGTAAACATGTCTCTCACATATAGTAAGTTCTTATGTAAACTTGTCAGTCACATATGGAAAGTTCTTGCATAAACATGTCTGTCACATATAGTAAGTTCTTATGTAAACTTGTCAGTCACATATAGGAGGTTCTTGTGTAAACATGTCAGCCACATAAAGAAAGTTCTTGTATAAACATGTCTGTCACATAAGGGAAGTTCTCGTGTAAACATGTCTGTCACATATAGGAGGTTCTTGTGTTAACATGTCTGTCACATAAGGAAGTTCTTGTGTAAACATGTCTGTCACATATAGGAGGTTCTTGTGTAAACATGTCTGTCACATATAGGAGGTTCTTGTGTTAACATGTCTGTCACATAAGGAAGTTCTTGTGTAAACATGTCTGTCACATATAGGAGGTGCTTTTGTAAACAAGTCTGTCACATGTAGGAGGTTCTTGTGTAAACATGTCTGTCACATAAAGGAGGTTCTTGTGTTAAGATGTCTGTCACATAAGGGAAGTTATTGTGTAAACGTCTATCACAAATAGAAGGTTCTCGTGTAAACATGCCTGTCACATAGAGTAAGTTCTTATGTAAACTTGTCAGTCACATATAGCAGGTTCTTGTGTAAACATTTCTGTCACATATAAGAGGCGCTTATGTAAACATGTGTGCCACATGTAGGATGTTTGGCTATCTTCCAAAAAAACGTCCCCAAATTATCGAGGCAGAAAATATACCCTAACAGAGCCTCAGTCACATGTCAATTGTGCACTTCCGGCAACTTGAATTGCGCACTTCCGGCGACTTGCGCCACCGCTTAGAGCATCCCCTACGCCGCTCATGCGGAATGGATTGGGGCTAATCTAGATGGCTGGGACTCCAGAGCAGCAGCTACAGCATTTCTTGAAGCTGCCTTTATTTTATTTGCTCATGAGTCCCAGCCATCTAGTTTAGCCCCAATCCACGCCGTGTGAGCGGCATCGGGGATACTCTCGGCGGTGGCGCAAGTCACCGGACGTTATTCGAAAGATAGCCAAAGTTCTTGTGTAAACACATCTGTCACATGTAGAAAGTTCTTGTGTAAACGTCTGTCACATATAGGAGGTTCTTGTGTAAACATGTCTGTCACATATAGGAAGTGCTTGTGCAAACATGTCTGTCACATATAGGAAGTGCTTGTGCAAACATGTCTGTCACATATAGGAAGTGCTTGTGCAAACATGTCTGTCACATATAGGAAGTGCTTGTGCAAACATGTCTGTCACATATAGGAAGTTCTTGTGTAAATATATATGTAACATATAGAAAGTATTTGTGTAAATATATCTGTCACATATAGGAGGTTAAAGGCATGGATGACATGATGTCAGAAAAATTAAGGGCATTGATAACATGATGTTAGAAAAAATGAGGGCATGGATGAGATAATGTCAGAAAAACTAAAGGCATGGATGAGATGATGTCAGAAAAATTAAGGGCGTAGATGAGATGATGTCAGAAAAAAAAAGGGAGCATAGATAAGATGATGTTAGAAAAATTAGGGGCATGGATGAGATGATGTCAGAAAAATTAGGGGCATGGATGAGATGATGTCAGAAAAATTAGGGGCATGGATGAGAGGATGTCAGAAAAATAAGGGCATGGATGTGATAATGTCAGAAAAACTAGGGGCATGGATGAGATGATGTCAGAAAAATTAGGGGCACGAATGAGATGACATCAGAAAAATTGGCTCTCCTAGCAGATTTGGTCGGAAGCTGGTCGGCTTCGGTCGGCGTAGTGGGAGTTCTTTCCCTTGGCCGCACTCACAACAACGAGCGGAAAAAGTCACGACTAAAACACGATAGTGAGGTCGACATCAGGGCTGCCAATGCTTGGTTGTGTCCCCCAGATCTGGGTTTTTCTTTTGACGCTGCGGGAAAATCTGGGGTTTTTTTTCTGTGTGTCTGTCTGTGGGTGTTTTGCCGATCTGTAAGCTTTAATGACCAATAAATTTGCGTGATTAGGGGTTGGATTAGGGTTAGCGGTAGAATTAGGGTTTGGGTAAGGGGTAGGTTTAGGGTTAGGGTTAGGATTAGGGGTAGCGTTAGGGTTACGGTTAGGGTTAGGGGTAGCGTTAGGGTTACGGCTAGGGTTAGAGATAGAGTTAGGGTTAGGGGTTAGGGTTAGGGGTTAGGGTTAGGTGTAGCGTTAGATGTGACAATTGTGACGCCGTAGTTCCCTATAATCGCGCACAGTCGCATGCACGCGCAAACAGTCGATGGACGGTGGATGCTACTGACACGGACAATTCGCCACCGATTGGGCACCAGCCGCGCGCTATTGCCTTCATATTTGCCACACTTCCAGTGGCGCCACTCCCACAAACATCAGATTGTCGGCCAGTATTTCGACCTCTTACGTGAAATTTTTCACATCTAACCCTACCGCTAACCCTACCCCTAACCCTAGCCCTAACCCTACCCCTAACCCAAAAACCTAACCCTACCGCTAACCCAAACCCTAAGCAACCCTACACGCAACCGTATGACGATGATAGACACCCTACGCAGCCCTACACGCAACCGTATGATGATGATAGACACCCTACGAAGCCCTACGCGCAACCGTATGATGATAGGTAACCCTAGACGCAACCGTACGCAACCCTACACGCACCCGGATGATGATAGGTAAGTATGTCATTTGATTCGTGACTTTTTCCGCGACTTGTTTTGAGTTTGGCGAAGGGACATAACTCCCACTAAGCCGACCGACGCCGTCCAGCTTGCCGGCCAAATCTGCAAGTAGAGCCGAAAAAATTAGGGGCATGGATGAGATGATATCAGAAAAATTAGGGGCATGGATGAGATGATGTCAGAAAAATTAGGGGGATGTATAAGATGATGTCAGAAAAATTATAGAATGGATAAGATGTCAGAAAGGTTAGGAGCATGGTCAGACACATTAAAAAAATAATTTGCAAGAAGGCATGAACCAAAGAGCCAATTTTGGTTTCAGATGACTGCACACATTTTCTTTTTCTGACATTTTATTAATTAAATGAAAGTATGTTTTCTTTTCCCCACACTTTATCAATTTTCATTAAAGCAAGTTTTTGTTGACCCTATACTTTATTTTAGATTTCAGATCCAATATGCAAATAGGACAAGAGACCAAGCAAGAAAATGAATACAGTTTTATAAGAAAGAGCCACTGGAACTATATTGGCCATTCACTCAGAATAGATAAGAAAAGACTTTCCCATCAAGCCCTCATATGGACACTGGAAGGAAAAAAGAAAATGAGGAAGTAACAGGTAGGTGCTTCACTTAAGCTATATATCAAGAGAGACTCTACGTAGAACAATTACCATGGGCCTAACAAACATTCAAGACCTAAAGCAGGTGGCAATGAACCGCCAGACATGAAGAGCTATGACCTCTGCCCTATGACTACCACTGGCCCAAGAGGAAAGACTAGCTAACACTCGAACCAATTTCCATTGAAGCAAGTCTTTTCCCCATACTTTATCAATTTCTATTGAAGCAAGTCTTATTTTCCCCATACTTTACCAATTTCCATTGAAGCAAGTCTTATTTTTCCCATACTTTACCAATTTCCATTGAAGCAAGTCTTATTTTCCCCATACTTTACCAATTTCCATTGAAGCAAGTCTTCTTTTCCCCATACTGTATCAGATTCAACTGAAGCAAGTTTCATGCAACAAAAACTGTCAGTCTTGATATCCTTGCTTTTGAGTGGAGAGACTGTGGGAGGAGAGACTTCAATGAGGGACCATTTGATTATGTGTGTCCTGATCTATCCAATTTTAACAGGCCTTCCATGTTTTTTGGAGAAATTCACCACAGTATCTACACTTTATTCATCTGAGGCGAGATCAGAACAACTTTTAACACAAGGAGAAACTCATCTTAGCCATAAGAACACAGGCTACATCCCTGAGGATGACCACATCAAACTCTCATGACAGCTGAGCAATCCGACCAGTGCCTGTGTCCACCTTCATGCTTAGAAAAGGTAACAATAACAAATTGAGAACACTGATACGCCTGTTCAACTTCTTACAATTCTAAAAATGTCTTACCTTTCTCCTCATTGTCTTCTGTAGGTATTTCTCCTGTTCTCCAACCTCTTCCTCCTCGTCTTTAACTGCTGCGGCTAAAACAAACATCATTAAACAAAACAACTTCTATCAGAAGGTGACAACAATTTCAGACAAACTTGTGGAGAGTAAATGTACATTTATTCTCTTTTGTGTGACTGTGTGAGTGTGTGCATGTGTGTGTGGGCATGTGTGTGCATATGTGCTTGTGTGTACATATATGCATGTGTTTGAGTACATACATGTGGATTATACATGTGAATGTGTGTGTGTATGTGTGTGTATCTTTGTGTGTATACTTGTGTGTGTTTTGTGTGTATTGATGGGTCATAGCAGGGGGTACAGATGGTCATGTAACTCCAAAACTACATTGTCATATTTAATTTTCAGAACCCTGTTTGCAGTCATGTGGTGGTGTAGACCATAGAGATGGTGTACCGAGTGTACAGTTAGAACCAAGAGTTGACAGACAGGTCACCGCGGTAGTCTGCATGACTGTTCTGATAAGTTCTGTAAAAACTAAGGGGAAACTACCGCTTAGCGAGATCCAGTGATGACAGCGATTAAGTGCTAAAAGAGTGAGCTCTCTTTCTGGCAGTTTCATGTTTGCTGCATGACCCGAAGTGAGTGATCTGACCGTGAAAAAAGTCATGAGGTGGGAGTCAACAAGGCATTCAACATTCAGGAATCAGATAGGAGACAGGGACATGCTTAGTTGGACAGATTAGAATGTTAGGGTGTTAGAATAATACTTTAGTGACCAAATATATTGGGCTAAGTGTTACATTATGGTAGTATAGCTTCTCTGTGTTGTGTAGTGTCTAACAGCAACAGGCATTGTGTTGTTCTTTAATGTGTAAGTAGTGTTGGTATATTCTGATCATTAGAATCTGGCGGTGAAATGGTTTGTGTGATTATTTCTAGCCTTGGCACACTGGCCCCGCACTCAACAGAAGCTCTGTGATCCTGGTGATGTCCAGTGGCATTTAAAGAGCGCATATCTTGCATAGGTGAGGTTTGCGGACCTGGGATTTGCCAGAGAGAATGCACTGGTGTGTTTAGTGAATGTAAAGCTCACATGGCAGGGGTTCTGGGTAAGAGGTGGCCTCACGGCGGGAATGTCAACTGTCCTTTTGTTAATCTGTGATTTACATTAAAGATTAGATTGTCAGAGGCCCACACAGCAAGTCACGGACCATCAAGGTCAATTAGAGGTCTGTGACAGATAAATGGAAGCAGCCGTCCTTGGGAGTTGTGAACCTGGTATATTGAAATAAATAGGAGATATATATTAGGTTGTTTACTTAGCTGACTTTTTTTTTTTTTTATGTATATCTCGTGTTCACTTTTATAGTGCTAGCTTGGTTCAGTTAGTCTCTGAATATTTGATGTGGCTATTGAGTTAGTTTGTGATGGCGTTGCTGAGGTAACTCTCTTAATAAGTTGCATCGTAGTCCAAACCGACTTGAATTTTTATAGCGATATTGAGATTTAGCTTGTATCATTGCTAGTGCTGTAAAGTGATAGATTGTTATCATTTCCCGTAAGTGTTTCTACTGAATTTGATTAGTGGTAATGACTAAATATGATAGGACTATCTTGTGTCTTGATGATTAAGTGACCTTAGTTTGTCACAGACAGTAAACAAGGGCGTGATCAAGTTTGTATGCTGATATGTATTTGCTGCTGAGTTCTGAAGTCCAGTCACCGACGCCTGTCGATCTTTTCTATCACCATCCTCACCAATCCTCCTTCCGAGGGAGGCCAAAGACCGGAGTAAAGATATGTTTTGTGTTGATTTTGGTGTATTGTTTGATCTGTTATCTAGTCCTTGATGGTTCCACAAAGTTGTATTTGGGACACTGACACCGTTCATTGTCTTTTAATTTCTCGTCTTTCCTAGCCATCATTACATTGTTTTTGTGGCTGGTTGGCAGTGCTAGTCTTGTGTTGTCCTTAGTTGTCTGTAATTGCTAGGATAACATAAGAGTACATCTTAGCTATATTGCGATTTTAGTCTCACTTGCAACTAGCTGTGCAGCCGGGTTTATAGTCAAGGTATATGCTTGTAGTGTCTTGTTCGTAATTAGTCATTGTCTTATCGTTGTGCTTTTTTGTCCATAAGTGTTTACTTAACAGTACGTTATCGTCGTTCTTGTGGCGTCATATTTAAATCATTTCTCCGAGGTGTTTTTGTCTGTGAATTTTTTCTACATTGTGACATCAATGATGTTTAATTGTGTAATAAATAATTTTTTTTTAAATTTCACATTTCATCCATCGGCATTCTGAAATTGTAACCTATAAGTTTTGGTGATCCATTCCCTTTTCTACTTACATCCTCCAATGAACGCAAAATTGTGACAACAGAGATGAAATGCCTTAGAAGAGCTGCAAGAGTTTCAAGGAAAGACAGAATACAAAATCATGAAATCAGACGAATGCTAGGAATAAAGCCAGTCTTACAGGTCATCAAAGAACAACAAATGAAGTGGTTTGGACACCAAACAAGAATGCCCAGGTACTATCCGTCACAGCGTGCCACACTAAAACGTTAAAACGGGTATAGAGCGAGTTGAAGACCTCGGAAAAGATGGAGTGATGGCATTAAGAACAGCCTTACAGAAATGAACATCAGTCTTAATAGTGCTCTTGAGAGAGCTCATCAACGAACATTACATCTTCCCCCGACAATTCGATGAGGTAAAAGGTGGAAGAGAAGAAGAAGAAGAAGAATTCCCTTTTCTGAGATAGAAAAATCCAAACTGTTTCAAAAATAATATTATTTGATTTTGCTAACTGCTTTGCTGAATTATTAAATATTATTTGTATTACTACTATAATTTTGATCACTGGTTTTTGCAATCGCCAGGTATAATTTTTTCATTTTTCTTTCATGGCTGCTATGGGTAAACAGTTGGTTTGTTGTTGCTTGTATTTATTATTTTGAAAGTTAGCTGACTAGTTGTAAACTGTTGCATATTAGTGCGAACTCGAAATTTCTCCAAATATCTTCCTGGAAGAATCAGCTTCAATGTGAACAGTGCAGATTGCAGAGATGAATCAGTATCAATGTGAACAGTGCAGATTGCAGAGATGAATCAGTATCAATGTGAACAGTGCAGATTGCAGAGAAGAATCAGTATCAATGTGAACAGTGCAGATTGCAGAAAAGAATCAGTATCAATGTGAACAGTGCAGATTGCAGAAAAGAATCAGTATCAATGTGAACAGTGCAGATTGCTGAGAAGAATCAGTATCAATGTGAACAGTGCAGATTGCAGAAAAGAATCAGTATCAATGTGAACAGTGCAGATTGCAGAGAAGAATCAGTATCAATGTGAACAGTGCAGATTGCAGAGATGAATCAATGTGAACAGTGCAGATTGCAGAAAAAAGAATCAGTATCAATGTGAACAGTGCAGATTGCAGAGAAGAATCAGTATCAATGTGAACAGTGCAGATTGCAGAAAAGAATCAGTATCAATGTGAACAGTGCAGATTGCAGAGAAGAATCAGTATCAATGTGAACAGTGCAGATTGCAGAAAAGAATCAGTATCAGTGTGAACAGTGCAGATTGCAGAAAAGAATCAGTATCAATGTGAACAGTGCAGATTGCAGAGAAGAATCAGTATCAATGTGAACAGTGCAGATTGTAGAGAAGAATCAGTATCAATATGAACAGTGCAGATTGCAGAGATGAATCAGTATCAATGTGAACAGTGCAGATTGCAGAGATGAATCAGTATCAATGTGAACAGTGCAGATTGCAGAGAAGAAAACGCAAAGTTCCAACAGACAGTCAAGAAGACAGTAAATGATAATCATCCAGGCTATATTCCAAGAGAAGCTAGAAAAGGTAAAAAGAATAGACCAATTAGGTCCCCTCCTGAGTACCGTATATGCGACGCTGTGGATTTTGTAAAAAAAAAAAAAAAAGTAAAGCATATAAAGAGACTACATTTGAGGTGTGACATTATTCTCAGAGGATGGGAATGTGTTCAACAGCCCACATGTGTGTCTGCTCTTTACTTTACACAGTGGATCATAGGGTATGATTAGTGTCTCAGCAGGGACTGCGGATTAGCAGACAAATTATACGACGGAATGTCTACCCAAGTTATTGAAATCATTACCTGTATGATCTAAAGGTGTAATAAGTGGTGACATATTTGTGTCAAGGTTACATCACTGATTTGCGACAATATAGATCTTTTATAATATTATACATGTTTACAGCTCATACATGTTTTGCTGATACCTGACAACAGACTACAATAAGATACTTAAACGTCTGTTGTCAGGAAGTATCAGGTTAGAGAAGGGGTGGATGTCAGAACCCTGTTTGTACAGTCATGTAGTGGTGTAGACCATAGAGACAGTGTACTGTGTGTACAGGTATAACTCAGAGTTGATGGACAGGTCACCACGGTAGATTGCATAACTGTAAAGGTATGTGCTGTAATAACTGAGTGGAAACAACCACTTAGCAAGATCTAGTGGTGACAGAGAATAAGGGCTGAAAGAGTGAACTCTCTTTCTGGTGGTTTAATGTTTGCTGCATGACCCAAGCTGAGCAAACTGACCTTGACAAAAGTCATGAGGTGGGAGTCAACTGGGTATTCAACATTCAGGATTCAGACAGGAGACAGTGACGTGCTTAGCTGGACAGATTAGTTTTGTCGCCCAGCTTCTGAGTTGAATGCATGGCGTGACCCTGTGAGCTGCGGATTGCATTTGGAATTTTTTTCGACTGTGACCAACGTGGTGGTGTGAATTGTAGATTCAGAAAATGGTGCGATGCCTGTCGTGCAATGTTGGCGGTGCCTGTATGTGATTAAAATTGATCGCGTGGGCAACTGCTGATCTGTTGGCGACAAGTTCTGTTATCCTCAATGATGAACTGCATTTCTAATGTTGGACTGTTTGTGTTAGCACTTCGGATGGCTACCGTATGCTTTAATGCGAGTGTATGCTAGATATGCTGAGACAGCAGTCTGTCAATCTTTCCACAAGGGCCTGTGAAAAACATTCTGGGTGTTTTTCATTGGCACAGGAGCGGAGCAAAGATGGGGCGACCCGTTTGCTATGAAGCTGAAACTAAGACTACCAGACCAGACGGACAGATTAGAATGTTAGGGTGTTAGAATAATACTTTAGTGACCACATAGATTGTACTGTTAAGTTATGGTAGTATAGTTTCTCTATGTTGTGAAACGTCTAACAGCAACAGGCGTTGCGTTGTTCTTTAATGCGTAAGTAGTGTTGGTGTATTCTGATCATTAGAATCGGGCGGTGAAATGGTTTGTGTGATTATTTCTAGCCTTGGCACACTGGCCCCACACTCACAGAAGCTCTGTGATCCTCGTAAGGTCCAGTGGCATTGGACGAGAACATATCTTGCATAGGTGAGGTTTGTGGACCTGGGATCTGCCTGAGAGAACACTGGCGTGTGTAGTGAATGTAAAGCTAGCACGGCCAGGGTTCCGGGTAACACACAGCAGGAAGTCAACTATCATATTGTTTATCTAGGATTTACATTAAAGATTGTCATGTGTGCTCTGTGAGTGTCCGGTTTCAGTGTGTACTAGGAACATCAAGGTCAATTAAAATGTGACAGTTCATATAGTCAAGAGAGAGGAACTACTGATAAATGTGACACCTTATACAGTCAAGAAAGAGAGAGAGAGAGAGAGAGAGAGAGAGAGAGAGAGAGAGAGAGAGAGAGAGGAAATACTGATCAATGTGACAGTTCATATAGTCAAGAGAGAGGAACTACTGATAAAGGTGACACTTTATACAGTCAAGAGAGAGAGAGAGAGAGAGAGAGAGAGAGAGAGAGAGAGAGAGAGAGAGAGAGAGAGAGACAGACAGACATAGAGAGAGACACAGAGAGAGACAGAGAGAGACAGATAGAGACAGAGAGAGAGACAGAGACAGAGAGAGACAGAGAGAGACAGAGAGAGAGAGAGAGAGGAAATACTGATAAATGTTACCATACAGTCAAGGGAGAAAGGAAATAATGATCACTTTACCATCCTCAGGCTGAGGCTCCTGCTCAGCCTCACCACCTTGGTCCAGTTGCTGGACATCCGTTGCCACAGGGTCACTTGCCTCCAGGCTTTGTATATCTGGTTTCACTTCATCCTCAGCTTCAGTTTCTTCTTGTTGATCTATAACTTCCTGACTGTCTCTCACTGACAGCTGTTTCTCAGTTGCTGCTTTTTCCTGAGGATATCATCAATTACAATGTAAAAATGATTACATTCATTAGGAATAAGCTTAAAAATTCCCCTATGATGTGTCTCCAATGTAATTTATGATGGTCTTAATGATCTGAGAGCTATCTTGGTCATAGATATAACATAAGAAAGGACTGGTGGCCATTTTGAATTTTTTATCAGCTCAGTGACACTGTTAGATTTGTCTCATCGAAATGTACAGTAGTTTATTACTGCTCTTAGGATTAATTACTGCAAAAGACCTGCTACATGATGATGAAAGTTACAAGCAGGGCATCTCAAGCCAATCAGGTCAAAGGGTAGAGGACAGACTAAAAGAGACACCTTGGTCCTCCAGGTTGGGGTGGTGGGTGGAGCAGATGACTCCACCTTTGTAAAACATCATACACTGGGCAGTTGGAGCTCATCAGCCGTGGACAGCAGTTCATTTAGGAGAAGGTACTTTAATAAACTTCCACTGTCCAATGGAGAGGTCTTAGTTCACCATGGACTATAGAAACACATCCTAACAGAAAAGCAAACTAAAGTTAGAAGTGTCAGCCTGAAAGACACAGACAGTCAAGAAACAATGTTACAGCCAAACCAGAAAACTATGGCACCACTCAACTCCTTCCTAAGTGTCAGTTTAGGAAAATGAGAATGATAGATGTGGTGTTGTGCCTGTTGAACCCTGACAGACAGCCGATGCTTCAAAGAAGGTCGGCTCAAATTATTGGTGATTCCTTTGTCTAGAATTGTGGAACCCGGAAAATAGTGCAGAGGGAAAAGACGCACACACCACAAAGGAAAACTCTGTATACTGAATTTGAATGCTGAGGGCATATACAGTTGAAAAAAAAAAAAAAAAGCCCTAATCAAAATAGTATACAAAGAAAAGACTGTTCTCCTCGCAACCACGGCCGCATATTGGGGGAGTACGCCGGAGTTTAGTCCCCTGGCCGCATTGCAATTATGGAATGGAGAAGGAACGAATCAAAGTGACATCCACACCTAAATGATTGAAGGGCTCTGAATGCTACTCAAACGCAAAATTTGGCACCAATTGGGCACTAGCCGGGCGCTATTGCCTTCATATTTAGCAGAATTCCAATGGTGCCACTGCCACAAGCAGCACATTTTTGGCCATTATTTGCAACTCCTGTGTCAAAATTATCAGATATAACGGCCGTCATTATGGGTAAGTACTCGACGTTACATGTGTTACCCTAACCCTACCCCCAACCCAAACCCTAACCCTATGATGACAGCAGTGCACTGCACCCAACCCTAACCCTATGATGACAGCAGTGCACTGCACCCACCCAACCCTAACCCTACCCCTAACCCAAACCCTAAACCTATGATGACAGCAGTGCACTGCACACTTTCTATTGCCAACACACACTAATTACGTCATTTGTTTCGCTTCCTCTTCTCCACTCCGTAATTGCAATGCGGCCAGGGGACTGAACTCCGGCGTACTCCCCCAATATGTGGCCGTAATTGCAAGACTGAAAAGACTGCCATGGCCTGTTTGCAGAAAACATATCCTACATCAAAGAAAAGATCGACGTGGCCTGCTTGCAGGAAACACAAATGTAAATATCCTCACTTAGAGCTGATATATAGGCTTCATTGAAGTACCGTTGAACTCTTTTTTTCTTTTCTAACCTCTATCCAGCTGTTGTGGTTTAAAGTAAATAAACTAATATATTAATTATTAATAATAATTTAATAATTTATAATAAATAAATTGTGACTAAACTTCCTAGTATTTAATTTAGATTTTAGTAGTATTAGTTAGTATCATCATATCATCTTCTTGAAATTATTACTTATTAGTTAGTCTTTCCTCTTGTGTCGAGTGCGGCACATAAGGCAGAGGTCATGACTCTCCATGCATGGCGGTTCGTTGCAATCTGTTGTAGGTCTTGGAAGTTTGAGTGGCCCATGAGCGAGCCTTCCCTGATGATAGTTCTATGTAGAGTTTCCCTTGGTCTTCCACGAGATCTTTTTCCCTGTGGTGTCCAAATGAGGGCTTGGTAAGGAAGTCTTGATTTATCCATTCTAAGGGCGTGGCCGACATAGTTCCAGCGGCATTTTCGTATAAAATTAGACACATACTCTTGCCTGGATTTTTGCCTTATTTGTGTATCGGTTCGGAAATCTGACCATTTGAAATTTAGTATTCTTCTAAGGCATTTATTTTCAAAATTGTCTAATTTTGTGTCTAGAGTTTTTGTTGATTTCCAGCTCTCGCATCCATAGGTTAGTACTGGAATCACACAAGAATTGAAGATCTTGAGTTTTGTGTGTTTGCTAAGTGTCTTTGATTTCCAGATGTTGGACAGTTTATTGAAGGCACTAGATGCCAGTGCTATTCTAAATGGTATTTCTGGTGCGGTATCTCCTGTAGATGACATATTGCTCCCTAGATAAGTGAAACTGTTGACTTTTTCAAGGCTGTTGTTGTTCAGCGTGATATCAACTGAACTGCTGGTAAGGTCTAGAATTTTTGTTTTTGCGGTGTTAATTTGGAGTCCAATTTGTTCTGAGAAATTCTGGAGTCGATTGATTTTTTCTTGGGCGTCTGTGTGTTCTGAACTCAGGAGTGCTATGTCGTCGGCGAAGTCTAGGTCTTCCAGAATTTTGTCAACCCATGTAATGCCTAAATTTGCGTTATTTATGCACTTGCGCATGACCCAGTCGATTGCTATACCAAAAAGCATCGGCGATAGGACACAGCCTTGCTTCACTCCTGTTTCCACCGGGAACCAGTCAGAATTGCCGGATTCAGTTCTTACACAGCATCGACTGTTTCATTATAAAAAGATTTGATGATGTTGATATATTTGATGGGGAAACCATAGATGTTAAGCAATTTCCAGAGTGTTGGACGATGGATACTGTCGAAGGCTTTTTGGAAGTCGACAAAGTTGATCAATAATTTCGACTGGAATTCTGTAGAATCTTCAACAATTATTCTAAGAGTAAAGATGTGGTCTATGCATGACCGCTTATTACGATTGCGAAAATAATACACTAATAATAAAGTAAGACCGCATTGACTTTCTGTATTTAGTTTTGCTTATTATTGATAAAAGTGGAATCTTCGCTAACTGAAATTAAATGTTCCGGAATACTCACTTCATCGTCGGCCATGTTTGTGTTCTGTTGCCAATAGAAACTTAAGGATAGGCTCGAGACGCTGTTCTCGAAGAGATTTAGTTGCTAATAACAACTATACCGGAAAGTGCAACGTTCTTCTGCTAGTGGAGATTGTTTTAGAGCACTGACGGAAAATGTTTCTATAAGTTAAAGAGTCTTTTGTTGTCAAAATAGGATTGTTCATGTATAGTTAGTGGCTACATTTTCTTACCGTCGTTTTTCTTTCTTGTCGTTATCTTCTTCTTCTTCTTGTCGCTCGCTTAAATTTTATAACCATGCCCTTTTTAACTCTTTCAGACGACATTTTGTGTGTGGTTTAGACAGCCCTAATTTAAGCAGAATTTTATTTTAATTTTACTGCAACATACATGAATACATGACAAAGCTGTTCTGGGCTCTCCTCCGAACTGCTACACCGGCATTATGGCGGCCAAACAACTATCCAGCAAACGAGAATGTGGTCAATATCGAGGCATCTCTCTTTGAAGCCATGTTGGCAACATTTATGCCAAGATAATAGAAACAAGACTGAGACCAGTGATAGGACCACAGCTGGCAGAAGAACAGATGGCATTTAGGAGAAATAGAAGCTGCACAGATGCAATCTTCACACTTAAACAGTTAATTTTTATTAATAATAGAAAAGAACATTGAATACAATAAGAACTTATTTGTGGCATTCGTAGACCAGGAGAAGGCATTTGACAGAGTCGACAGACAATTATTATGGAAAATAATGGCAAGATATGGAGTAAGCGAACACCTCATCAAAGTGTGCAAAAGTTTATACAAGGATTGTAGAAGTGTAGTTAGAATAAATCAGGGAACATCTCATCCTTTCACAGTGACATCTGGAGTAAGACAGGGGTGTGTCTTATCACCACTGCTGTTTATCACCTACATCGACAGTATATGCAAGAATGCCAAGCCCCTGAATGAAGATCTTAGTAAGATCAACGAATTACTCTTTGCAGATGACCAGGCCTTGATAGCAGATACAGCCATGAAATTTCAACAACATCTAACATCCATGAATGAAGAATGTAAAACAAATAATATAAGAATCAACACTGAAAAGACAGAAGTAATGTCAATAGGAAAAAAGAAGACAGGTCTAAACATAGCAATAGAATACAAAGGCATTAAACAGGCATCTGAGTTTAAATGTCTGGGAACTACATTTACCGTAGATGGGAAATTGGATAAAGAAATTGACATTAGATGCAGTAAAGCAAACCAAGTATTGGGACAGCTAGCCCCCCTCTTACAGCATAAGACAATCCCGATCAGCACAAAGAGACATCTTATTCAAAGCATATTTATTCCAACTCTGTGCTATCAGTGCCAGACTTGGTCACTCACAACAAACCATAAAAGAAAATTAGTAACCACGGAAATGAGATGTCTGAGAAGGGCTGTAGGAGTGACCATAAGAGATAAGATCAGGAATGAGATCATAAGAGAACAAGTCGGCACAGAACCAATTCTGGATTACATACAAAGACAGCAAGTGAAATGGTTTGCCTACTTAGAGAGAATGCCTTGTGACACCATACCATACAAAGCATACATGGAAAGAGAAGAAGGACGTAGAGCACGGGGTAGTCCAAGAACAAGATGGAAGGATAACATCAGAGAAACTCTACAACAGCACGGTGTGCCTATGGTCGAGGCAGCCAGAAGAGCTAGAAACAGAACCTTATATCTCACTCGACACCCACAGTGGTAAAAGAGGAAGTGAAGAAGAAGAAGAAGAAAACAACTATCCTAACAGGGCCTAAGCCTTTGAAAAATGCGGACTTCTCAGACTTTCTGCCGAGTGGCAAAACTAGGATCGGC